AAAAAAGAAACACAAATTTTAAACGATTTTTAATGGCGACTTTCAGGGCAACAGTCAACCATATAAAGGCTGGAGGGTCTGCATAGCGGGGGGGGGGGAGCGTCCCACGCCCCTCTCATTAAAAAAAGGCCTTAGAGAATAGGTATAGAATTAATATGCATAATCATATAGACCAATTTTTCAACGCCAGCTCATTGAAAAAAAGTTAGACAGATAATTCTAATAGTTTGGACTCTAGGGAAGGTTGAAAAAAAAGCCAAAAAAAGGTAAAATTGTAATTTTTTTAAACAGATATCCAATTATGACACATGTTTCTAAATCCATTTTTTAAGGAATTTTTAAAAATATAATTTTTAGATCTGTAGCTTTAGTCACAAAAAAAGTTAAGGGCCATTTTAGATTTTTTTTACACAGACCGGACTTTTTACCGCCCTGTACCCTACCCTATGCATTAAAAAAAATTGACAGAAAAATCCTTTAGATTAACTATTCATTAAAAGTAACAAAACTTCACTGTAATTGTGACAAAAATGAGAGTGCTAGGACAAAAAAAAACTATAGGGCCGGCCAGCCTGTTTAGGGTTAAAAGCTAAAATAGTTAATGGGTGAGGCCTAGCTTTTATTAAATTTCTTTAAATAAATTAGTAAAAAAAATACTCTACAGATTGACCCTGAGAACTAAAACGTATTCAATGACCTCTTCAAATGACAAGTTCATGATCCCACCAAACCATATTACATTTCTTACGAAATTTCGTTTTCTGTTTTGTTTCTGTAACGTTACATGAAACGTAATGTTACATAACGTTTTAGAACCGTATTTGAAACGTTTCTGAATACCAATCCAAATTATATGTTAATGAACAATTGTATTTGTCAATTATAAATTTCTTATGTAATTCCTATATGTTAATTAATTCATGCGTCAAAATGTGTAAATTCTAATCTTTTTAAAAAGTTTTTAAACTTCGTTTCTGAATCGTAAAGTTACGAAACGGATTTAAAAAAAAGAAATTTGAATAATACAGCTGATTTTATATCTATATAGATAGGTAGATAGATAGATAGATTTACTGGGTTTCTTTTACTGGTCAGTTTTCGGCAAGGGCGCGGGCAGCGCGGCTTGCCATAGTGATAGGACAGGTCCTGGGATCGTCGCACACGGCTTTTAGGTAGTTTGGGTAGGGCGCAGCCCGCCATGTGACCAGGCGGCAGGCACTGCTGAGTGCAGAATAACCACAACCAGTCAGTCAGTTCAGTAGTCAGTCAACGTGTCACCCAGTGTCCAGTAACTCGGTTATTATTCACGAAGCAGCTTCAATCACAACTATATCTCAGATATTCAATCACATTCAGACAGGGGAAGAAGAACAAGATTAAAAGCGAAGTTTTTTATTATATAAGTCATTTGTTTGCTAAGCTGGTAGATCGAACAAAAGTCATATCTAATAATTAAACAAGCTAATCAACATTATAAGCTGGATGCAGGAATTACAAAAGTAATTAGCCAAATATCACTGAATTTAAATGATGTTAAAATATGTTTAGTATTAGTATTTAGGAATTTTTTTTATATTTACTGTATATATTTTTATCCTTTTCCTCAATAACTGTGAATATTATCTTTTTTACATCATTAAAAAATAGGACTTTAATCTGTTTGTTATAGTTTAGACTTTATTCAGTTTGTTATAGTTCAGACTTTAATCTGTTTGTTTAGTTCAGACTTTATTCAGTTTGTTTAGTTCAGACTTTAATCAGTTTGTTTAGTTTAGACTTTAATCTGTTTGTTTAGTTTTGAATGTTTAGTATTAGTATTTTGTGATTTTTTTTATTTGCTGTTTATTTTTGAACCCGATCTTGTAAACCTTTGATATTTCAAACTCAGATTATTTGATTTAACAGAATTCATAGTTGGAAATATCAAGGTCTACAACATTTGGTTCCAATGATATAGTGATTAGAAAATTAGAGTTTGTGGCAAAGACTCAATTCCATTAATATAAAATGCTAGTTATCCATGATACTGAATGTTATTTAATAGTGGAGTATTATCAATGATTTTTTATTTACTGTATATTTTTAATCTTATTCTTTTCTACAGTACATAACATTACACTGTATGTATGTGTTCTCATAAATATGAAAAACAAAGACATGATAAGTATATAATGTTCTCTACAGATTAAGGATAAGGATTTAGTTTTCTCTATATTATTAAGATATATTTAGTGTTCTATATAGAATATTAAGGGAAGTACTAAGTATATATAGTTATGTAAGATTTTTTTCTTCAGATTTTTTTTTGTGTTTGAACATTTTTAAACAAAATTTGAAAGGTTTTTTATTAATTATGTTTTACGTAACTAAAACGTTAATAGTTCGAATTTTTTACGCTCTTAAAACGTTTCTGGGAAATGATACTGGAAAACGTTTCAGTAACGTAAAAAGTGGTTCGTTTTACGTAGCATTTACATATCAGGAAAACGAAGCCATAACGTAACGCTACCTTACATAACTTTTCGGTAACTTTCTAGAAACGAAATTTGGTTTGTCAGGATGTTCAAGGGGTTGTACAATTTTCAGCTTTACAGTCTGCATGAACAATCTATTCTAATGTTACATATGAAGGAAAAATGAATCAAAACAACTACTCATTAGATCTAATATTCGACGAGTCGGTTTTTCTTACAATTTATTATTATTTACAAAGATACAAAAACTATAGGAAAATACTATACGAATCAAGTTGCATGAATTGAGAATAGTTCAGAGTGCTGGGAGATCTCCAGGGGGACCTATTAACTAGGGAGCTGGTCTTCAACTGCCATTTTTCCCCAAATTTCACTCCACCCTCGACTAGAGCTTAACTCTAGTTCCCCGGGAGCTGGCCGGCCATCCCACCAGCACGCGGGCCTCTGGAATAACGGAACTATTGGCGTGGCTTGGTGTAAGAATTATATAAATTCAATCTTTTAGAATTTATACAACTCCGTATGAGAGCTCTCCAGTCGAACAGCCCTCATTCTGCATTTTGTCTGAAAAATAAGTGTTTAAAGTACGCCGAATGGTATGGAAGTGAAGCTAAAAAGGCCTTACAAGGCCCGATGAAAACTTGGTGCCGCCCCGCTCGTCTACCGCTCCTGCGCGCTCTTTTTGCGCTTACTCGTACCAGCCTCATGCTCGTACCAAAAAGTTTATAGTTTTAAAGGGACTATTCCTGACAATTTGGATGATTCATCCAAATTGCTGTACTTGAAGAATTAGGATGGTTTAGCCAGCCTCAGATTGGGTTTTCCGCGTGGCTTGGGTTATTTATAGAATTCACATACAAACACGAATAAATCCGTTAGATCTGTACAAGGGATAGAGAAAGGGGGGGGGGCATGATACCCCTAGGTATGCTATGATCTCCGCGATCTAAAAATCCTTGAATCGCTGATCATAAAAGATCAACAAAATCACACATTGTTACACTAATTTATCTAGGATATTATTAAATTTGATGAAAAAAAATGGTCATGTCCAAAATTGATAGGAGGGGGGGGGGGGCCAAAAATTGTTCTCTAGGACAGACCCCTTTTTTCATTTTACCAATTTTGTTGTAAGTTTTTCATTTGAACTATTTTTTTTTCTCATTTGAACTATTTTTTTTTCATTTGAACTATTTTTTTGTTCATTTGAACTTTTTCTCTAGGACAGACCCCTTTTTTCATTTTACCAATTTTGTTGTAAGTTTTTCATTTGAACTATTTTTTTTTCTCATTTGAACTATTTTTTTTTCATTTGAACTATTTTTTTGTTCATTTGAACTTTTTTTTTTGTTCATTTGAACTATTTTCATGTTCATTTGAACTATTATTATGTTCATTTGAAATATTTTTATGTTCATTTGAACAATTTTTTGTTCATTTGAATTACTTTTATGTTCATTTGAAACATTTCTGCAGTATATGTTATATAATTTTGATTGTATGGTCCTTAACACATTATAATGATAAAAAAATTAAAAACTGAATTAATTGGTAGAAAAAATAGTTCAAATGAGCAAGTATTGTGGTGATTTGAACTACAGAATATGACATATGACAGTATAGTTCAAATGAACAATAGTTTAAACGAACAATAGTTCAAACGAACATTAGTTCAAACGGGAGTAGTTCAAATGAGAATCCACCCATTTTAGAAATTGATTATTAGACGGTACATTTTTTGTGATGCACTATAGACTGTCATTTGTCAATTAATGGAACTCAAAGACGATATTTAAGTCGTCTCTCAATTCCCAAGTTTAGTGGGACCCCCTAGGTAGATTCAGACCCCCCAGCCTTATGAGCCTGATCTTCCTAGCTTAACGGCCGTATTTAAGACGCACTTTGTATGTTTCGGTACACGTATAGTGTTTGTCCACCATGGATATCACCCAAAGTATAGGTTTCAGCACATAATCTTTACTATATGCTTTCTATTTGTTTTCGCCGAGAAGGGTCGTGTTCGTCGTGTTTCACCGTGAGTATTTAAGGAAGACGGATGTGAAGATTCGGGCTCTGAGGAATTGGTAAATGCAAGCAAATGTAATATTAAGAGTTTAAACGGCAGTCGTTCAAACAATCAGATCCACTCTATCCACCGATGATTGTTGTTCGGTAATGTTACATCGTCTTAAACGCAACATCCCCCCCACTGAACTTCCGACCTAATAACTTTCCGACCTACTGCAATGTCGGACCTACGCCAGCTGTTTATTTTTGTATTATTTGAGGGTTAAGTTAGGTTAAGACAATTTCTGGGCCGAGCGCTGCGGCTATATAATTTGCCACAAGTCCATATAGTAGCTTTAAAACCACGTGCTAGCAGGTCGGATTTGTAGTAAAGCGGATTTGGCGTAGGTCAGAAGTGGAGTATAGCGGATTTGCATAGGTCGAAAAATACACCACCTTGTTCTTCAGTTTATTTAAAAGAGCCAAATTTTTAAAGACGACATTTAATCATGACGCTATATTTCAAGTGGCGGTAAAGCTGTTACCTTGCCTCTCATTGGTCAGATTTAACAGATGATTAAATATATGACCAATCACAGGCCTCGGCTTAAACCTTTCCTCGCGGAAAACTAAAGAGAGGGATATTTAAATTTTTATCGTAAGCATCACTCGGCCATATGATCGTTGGACTATACTTCCTGCTAGTTAATTCGTTTAATTTGAAACCTTATAAGTTTTCACGTTAACTAATAATAGATAGGTCATTTATAATATCGATACGAAATTATTTTTAACTAATTATTGTTCAGTTTATTTCAGATTAAACTAAGTTCCATCGTTTCAAGATAATTAAAGTGAAAAGGCAGGTAATTTCCGAGAGAACGTTATTTGACACGGATATATGGCCAATTTCTTATTCATGTTACCATAGGTACAACTATAGGTCGTATCTATCTATCTACACTGCTCTGGTAAAGCGTAACCATAGTGTCACTATTGTTCTACCTATGGTAGAATGTCTAAGAAATTGGTCACGTGGCCGCGGCGCTCGTCCCCTTAGCCTGTCCTTGACTCAGCGCTCGGCCCCCTAGCCTGTCGGCCCAGAACCTAACCTAACCCTAAAATAATAAAAATAAGTTTGATGAAAATAAGTGGTCGTGTACAAAATTGATAGGAGGGAAGGGGGAGAGGGCCGTCCAAAAATCGTTGTCCATGACAGACCCAAAAGGCTTAAGTTTTGCATTATACAATTAAACTATATTCGATATATTTATTTATGGGGGGGGGGCCCAAAAGGCCAAGTTTATTCATGAATTCTCCTAGATAAAAGTACCATCACATTCCCCTATTGATAGAGGGTGTAAGTCATGTTAATTAACGCCATCTGATTCTTCATTGTACCGTGCTGTCATTTTAAGGAATTCGATTTTTACATTCACTTCTCTTTTTTAGTAATAAAAATGGCAACTAGCAGAGCCCGTGCGTTGACCGTCTCCAACCTGGATAATATGATGGAGAACAAACAACAGATAGTTGGCAAACAGTTTATTCAACCTGCAACCAGGGGGACAAGGGGCGTTCTAGGAGATATCAGAAACAAGGAAAACTCTATGTTAATTTTAAAATTTATGAATTTTTATTTTATTCGATATTTGTAAGAAGCCATATTGGAATTACAAGAGAAATTGAAAGAGGTAAATGGGTGTCCNTGATGTATGACAAGGAAATGAAACTAACGTGTATCAATCCTTAATAATTTTACATTTGCAAAATTTTGAGTTTGGTTTAGACTTGTAATGCAAGCATTGCTACTGATCAGCCCTCCAAGGACCTTCAAACAGGAAAACCTATGCTTAGACAGGCTCAGAATGATAAAATGGTAAAAACTTTATATATCTAAGTTGCTCTCGAGTAACAGCAAATAGTACACTTGTACTCAAATAATGCTTGTATCTAAAACTATTTAATGAATTTCTGGAAGAAGTTGAATGAAACAAGTTTTGCCATTCAATATATTAATATATTTAAAAAGAGTGGGGTAATTATTTGACTATATATAAATTTATATTAAATATTTTAAAATATATATGTATATAAATATTAAAATTGCCAGAATTTCAATTGACCCACCTATTACAGATTTTCATTCCTAATTCACAATGGTACCCTTAAAACCTCTTTTATCTAAGTGAGTTGAAAATTAAAAAGATATTGTCGTTTGTATGTCATAATCTTAGNTTTATATGTCATGATCTTACATATATATATGTTTATATGTCATGAACTTAAAAGATTTAAATTTATTTTCCTTCCTTCTCTTTATTGCGTATAAATTCAAAAGCCGCAAATAACGTTAAGTCAAAAGTTCACATTTTTCGAAATTCATAAATTTTCCCAATTCAGCGACGTTTGTTTTGTGCTTCGCTAAAATATACCTAGCATCTGTGGAAATAAAACATGTTCAAGAAACTGGGCTGCGAGGGGTTGATTTTTAAGAAAATATATTAAATATCTATATATTTTTCATCAGGTTGAAGAGAAGAAGGAAGAGCAGGAGATGGATGTTGTGAAAGACGAGGATTTGGAGATGGACGTCTCCGGAATAAACATCGCTGTTCCAGAGATTGAGGACATCGACATGGTCAGTTGATTTTTAATCTTTATTTGATATTAATAAATGAACTGTTCTGATTTTGGACACACAACTCTTAAATTAGATTATCACTAATTTAACAGTTCCCATCATTTTTTTTAATCGCATTTTTTGTCTTGAAATTAGACTAATCATCACTTTTGTTCAAACCCTTTCAACAACGTCTAGACTCTAGATGTTCTATAATTAATCAAAATAAACTATTTTCGTTGGAAATGTAATTTCGCGGATTTTCAGGATGATATTGGAGATCCCCAGCTTGTTGTGGACTATATTCAGGATATCTACAAGTATCTCAGGTTCATGGAGAAGGAACAGTCAGTTAAGCAGGAATATCTGGCGGGACAAACGGTAAGTTACAGGAGAGGTAGGTCGGTTGAGTAGATTATGGAGGGGAGTAAGGTTAAGGTTCCGGGTAGGTCGGTTGAGTAGATTATGGAGGGGAGTAAGGTTAAGGTTCCTAGTAGGTCGGTTGAATGTAAATTAAGAAAGGTGGTATGGTTATGAAGGAGGAGGGGGTATTTATTAAGTTGGTCAATCGTAGGAGTAGGAGGGGTGGTCGACTTATCTAATAAGTTTTTTGTCTAGGTCATTCTGCCAAAGATGAGAGGAGTGATTGTAGATTGGATTGTAGGAGTACATTTACAGTTCAGACTACTCCCAGAGACACTGTACACAACAGTAGCAATTCTTGACAGGTATATTGAGCGGGGAGGGGGCGGGGGGTAATTTGTGTAATTGTATCCTGTTTTTATAAAAAATAAACTTTTGAAGGAATTTTGAAGGTACTAGGAATTTAAAGCAACTCGGCTTAAATTATTTCAAAACATATCTTAGTCATTTGCACTTTGTACAGAAGTAAATTTCCAAAATTAAAACAAGTATGGCGATAGTCAGTTCTTATGTAAAGAACCAAACTAAGAACAATTTTTTACAACACTTTTTGAGTGGTGGTCGTCTTCGTTAGCTAACTAAAACTGCAAGTTTTGACCTTTATGTCTTTTTCTGAGATCTATGATTTCTCAGTACACACGCAAAATGCTTCCAATGATTACGGCGATAGTCACTTCTTATGTATGAACAATTTTAAGAACAAATTCTTTTATGACAGTTTTTAATTGGAGGTCGTCTTCGGTAGCTAAGGGGCACTGAAATTCAAAAAGAAATTGTTCTATGAATTGTTTTTTTTTTACATAGGAAATGACTATCGCATTGATTCTGTGATGAAATTTTAAAATGTAATCCTTCATATTGTACAGTTCTATAGGATTACATTTTATATTGTTAAAAGTATTGTCTGTTTCGTGGACCCCCCCCCCTCTCATCTAAAAAGAGTTTGTCCAATATCAGGAGGAGAGGTGGGGGGGGGGGTCAAATAAGAACTTCATAGGACTGGGTCGCACCATTTAGGGGCCTCTTTAATTAAAATTAATTTCTAGTTGGTTCTGGGTTTTGGGTTTCATTTCCATTTACTTTTTCATTATGAAGGATAAAACTGAAACATCTTTTTCGATGATTTTTAAAGAAAGCCGGATTAAAAAATTGAATAGTCGGTGTTTTCTAGATTCCTGCAGAACCATCTAGCGTCGATAAATCGAACTACCCTGCAGCTGGTTGGTGTGGGTGCTATGCTGATTGCTTCTAAATACAAGGAACAATTCCCTCCTGAGGTTAGAACACTGTTATTCAATTTATATAGTGTGACTCAAAAGTGCCCCCTAATAATTTACTACTTGTATATTGTTTAGAGGCCTTAAATCATTTAGGAGTGGATAATGTTGCATAACAGATTGAAAGGTTATGCTTTTCTTTGAGTGATAACAAAAAAACAATTTTTTTGCCGACGGTGTTTGAAAAATGTAGTTTAGTCATCATAGCTTTAGAATCTGATGTACCACAAGTATTTGTTATTGCAGGGGTGTTAATTAGTTGTGAGACTCTTATTTTTGACCCCCCACCCTTTCAAATCATATTTTTTTCCCAAATCTATAACTTAAAAACAGGGATATTTTACAGGTTTTTCAAAGCCCAAGCATACCTCGAAGAAGTTTGATGCAGGGGGAAAGGGNTCACAGAGAAACCAACTTCAAGGTTCCCCTGAGTTTTTTTAAAAGCATTTTTGAGACTGTTTTAAACAAAAATTGTGGTTTTTTCCCTTCCCTCTTCCCAGTTTTCCCTTCAATTTTCCCCTTCTCTTTTCCCTTCCCTCTTCCCCTTTTTCTCTGCCCTTTCCCCGTCCATTTTTCCTTTTCCCCTTCCCCTTGCCTTTTTTTCCATTTTTTCCCCCGTACGCAATGAAAGCTCATATTTCTGCCCCTCTACCGGGGGGGAGGGGAGCAAACAGAAAAATATACACCCCTGTGTTAATGTTTATGGTTTCGAATGGTTAAAGATTGTTTCATAATCTATGAGCTTGGTAAAAGGCTTTTTGTGAAATCTGAAAACACTTTTGGTTCATTGAATTTAAGAAAAATAGCACAATGAACTGATTTAAAAGTTTGCTGTTGACTTTTTAACTTTTTTTAACAAAATAATGTTGGTTTTGAGTTTCCAACAACTTGACGGTTCAGCATTTCTTAGTTTCCTTTTTTGCAACAGAAAATATTGACAATTGATGCCAGCTAATTGTGAGACATGTGGCTGAAGGGTTTAAGATTTCTCTCTTTTAGAGGAATCAATTTCAAGTAGTTAATTTACTAATGCATTTTTTAATTCTCAGAAACATTTACAAAAGGCATTTTTCGCTAAATTCAAAATTGACCATCGTAAATGGCCTTTTGTGATAAAAAAAAACGCCAGTACGAGTGTTTTGTTTCTTCTTTTCAAAATATGTCGAATTGGGCAAGTACAAAATCCGTCTTTCCTAGCCATATATAACTGAAAAAACCATTATAAAAATAATGAAAAATAGCCAAGCTGGAGCTCTTAGATCGTATGTTCTTAATATTTTTACGAACAGTTTGCTGCGTTGAATTAGGCTTTGAAAGACGAATCTTTTTTATATTATTTATTTATCTTCGTCATACTTTCTCATTTGATAAGATTAGTCTTCTAATGCGCCCCCCCCCCATCCTGTTCTCTGTAACACAGAGATAGATAATATCTTTAATTATACCCTAACTACAATAATACTTCCCCCGGATCTTTTCACTGGGCACTATTTTCTTAAAATATATTAGTTAACATACCAATGGAAATCAAACCTTAGTAAACTATTCACGGAGTAGCGCTCCGTTTTTCATTTGCTGTAGTAAATGTCAAGGGATATTCTTTAAAAAAAATCTAATATTTTGCTGAACACCTTTTGAATTGTGTTGTTTTAGATTAAGGACTTTGTGTACATAACTGACAAGGCGTACACTGTTTCGGACATTATCAAGATGGAGTTGAAGATTCTGGAAGGGATCAAGTTCAACCTGGGCAGGCCTCTTCCTATTCACTTTCTGAGGTAGATTAAGGGGGGGGGGAGGCATAAAACGTATTGCTCAATAATAAATAAATATTTGAGCATCTGACCGGCGCGCTAGAAGCCGGCAGTTACGTTATGGGTCATCTTAGCACTGATTTTACATGTTGCATGTCGATTTATAGGTAATTGGGCCACAATTTGCAATGAATCCAATCTAATAGCTTAGTTATTTATTAAGTCTATTTAAATCCAGCTCTTTATCGAGGAATGTCAGATACTCTCAGAAAAATTAGAATTGATCGAAATTTAAAACCCAAGGGATTCAATGATGAAGCCGAGGGCGGCGTTCTTATGATTGGCATTTATCCGGATGTGTATCTACTATCTAGGACGTTAAAATGTTGCAAATACAGTGAGTTCCGGAACAAAATCCGCCAGTTTTCACTAAAAATTTGCAATTTTGTTGGTTTTTTATTTAAAAATTAAAGGAATTGAGTTTTTCTGGTTGGTTTATTTTCCCAGGAATTAAGTTATTTTAAATTGAATTGTATTGTGTAAACTTTATATAAAATATACGTAGGGGGAATAATTGGCCAATTTCCTGTCAGGCGGCTAATCTTGAAATTACTAGTGTCGCGGAGATATTGAATTCGAATGACGGTTTGATAAGATTATCTCTAACACCTATTCAGGGGTATTACCCCCCCTCTCTCGTCTAAAAAAAAAACAGGATAAACCCCCCCCCCCACACAAAAAAATATAAATTAGAGGGAAGGGGGGGGGGCATATAGTAAGCATTAATCCCTGAACTTGAAAAATTAAACAAATAAATGAGTACTCTCAGTTTTCTACGATCCTTGAAAGCGGTCAGAATTAAAGTTTAATAAAGTCTCTTAAAATACATTATTTTATAAAATTATAATTTTTTGAATAATAAGGACAATTTTGTTTAAGAGTTAATTCACATTAAAACCTGTTTAAAACAGAAGATTTTAAAAATAACTTAATAAAAAGTCTGTAAAAAATCGACGTTTTCGGACCCATAAATATGGATTTTTAATGAAGGTTTTTGTAGTTTTGTAACAATTTACATAGTTGATTCACAATGGTACCCTTTAAACCCTCCTTGTTGGAGCAAAACAATATTCTTGTTATTATTCTGAAAATGATAATTTTGAATGTGGTTTTTGAAAGTGTTTTGCCATTTATGCAGAGAGAACTGAAGAAATTAACAGAGTTCAATACGTTTTTAGAAATATAAATATAGATATCTTCTCCCCAATTGTTGTTGATAAATATTTAAATGGTTCTCTTGCTAATCGGTTATGCCACTCTACAAGTGGAGGGTCACTTAAAATAACGTGAACAGTCCCTTACAGAAACTAAATTGTTTAGGAGAGCCAGTAAGGCAGGAGGGGTATTGACTATTACCCATACTCTGGCTAAATACATCATGGAGCTTAGGTAATCTTTATAGAAAAGTAATTTCTGTTTATATGTTTGTAAATATTTCCGATCATAACTCCCTGTTCTTAGATTGATTAAAACTGTTTAAAAGTTGGCTTATTTGTTTTGTTGTTGCCTGAATACTTATTATTGTATGTTGTTCTTTCTTGTCTTAATTTCTGTTGTTTTTTCCTTTTTTTCCTTGTGGATGTTCATAGATCTTAGTAGACTAGATTAGAATAGTAAATATTATTTCTTTACCACCGGAAAGAAATTACTTTTTTTTCACTTTTAGTTTGTGTGACTACAGTCTAGCTCACGAATTACCAAGTAGGATAGCAGCGTCGGCCCTTGCACTCTCCATTCGGCTACTCGATGCAGGTTAAGATAAACACCTTTCCTGGGGTTTACATTTTCTTGAAAGAATTATTCCCCCCCCCCCCTAACCCTCTTTTTCAGATCTGGTAGGTTTGTTTGCGCGACATAGTAAATTTGTGAAGGATTTCATTCGCTGAAGGGAAAATAATTTAGCTTTCGGCCAAAAAGTGGTGCTTATGATCCCATTTCATCTTGATGCGGATTCCATGGATCCGTCTTGTAAAAAATTTATCCGGATCCGGGTAAACACTTGAGTGTTACTCTAGGAGTTGGGAGCATGGAGGAGGTCTGGACCCCTGTCCTAGTTTACTACACAACCTACACACTGCCTCAGCTACTTCCCACCATACAGAGGCTCGCAACTATCCTAGCTGCAGCTCCGACAGCCAAGTTCAGTGCAGTGTTCAAGAAATATTCAAGCAGAAAGCTCATGAAAATCTCCAGGTATTGATTCAACTACTTAAATCGCAATTGTTTTTATTGATTGATTTTACAAAATTTAATTAAAATAATGTTTTAGAATACAGTCACTAGACCAACCTATGCTGCAGGAGATGGTTGCCGGTCAATTCTGAAGATTTCCCGCCAATCCGCCATGTTCTAAGTTGACACAAATTTGCGAATCAAACTCAAAACCAGCGGTGTTGTACGCTCACATCACTCAAATCCACGAATTGATATTATTATCCTCTGGTCTTTTTTTGACAGACATTGAAATATCTTCATGGGGTTTAATGTTCGCAAATTTTATAAATAGTTTTTTTAATTTGTTAAAGAAAATATTTTGTGTAATTTAATTGACCTTTATATATTACGACGATTTTTCTAGATAAATATGTTGGTCTAGAGATGGTTCCTGTTCACGCTGCTGCCCTGGTGGATAGGGAACCATTACTTAATATAGTACATAAGGTGAGTACAGTAAATAGAAGCATAGTATACTGCAGCATAGTACATCCTAGCATGGTGGATATAACATAGTGGATAAAAGCATAGTGTAATGTTCAATGGGTTAAACCAGATGTAAATCCTAGGGATTTCGAGCTCTATCATTTTCTCCCATAGTTAGGCGTGTACAAATATTTCACTCTGAACCCCGTACTCTTGTTCTTATAAATCACAATCTCTTTCTCTAAATATCTCTTTGGAGTATAAATGAATAGGATTTAGCTTCAAAGTTTTATTTGTTATTTACATCTATATATGTTACTCTTGTTTTTATTATCTCTCCATGGTATTCGGGAAAACCGTGGTTCCGCTGCTCCAGTTCAAGATCTGTCTGAGCAGCTTCCTCAACCTCAAATATCTTGTTCAGCTGCTCTGGTTCAGAAGATGCTTTCATTGTAATCTCCTGGAGTCTCCGCTACTTCAGCTGCTCCTACAATCTGAGGTGCTTCTACTATTTTCGAAGCTGCATCTTTTTCTACCGGAGCTGCTCACGGAGTCTCTGCTACTATGGCTGCATTCCCAGCTGCTTCCTTTGTTGGACTTGCAACTGTAAAGAGCAGCATCTCCTGTCTCAAGATTATCTTGCTCTTCAGCTGCTTCTACAACAGATATGTGAAGAAGAGCTGCCTGTAAAGTAGGTTTAGAGGAACTAGTCCAAACTGAGCACTAAGTGCACTAAATACATTACTAGCAGAGAACAAAAAGTTTATCCTTGAGTAGAGCAAGGGTGTTCACTGTTCAGCAATAAGTTTGCCTTGATGAGAGCAATGACTGCTTTAATGACTTTTGCTGTACAACAAAATGCTTGCTAAATTAAAAATATATAGTGCAAGAAAAAAAGATGAAATATATATTGATAAGATGTACTGCTCAAATAAGATTTTAGTTTAATAATAATATGACTCCAAAATGAAAATGTTAGAAAATATTTCCTAATTAAAAGTTTCGGAAAAGATCAAAAAACGACGCCATTGTAATTAATTGGTTAACAAAGTATCTTACTGCTTAAACTGGACTAACCAGAATACAAAGATTACACTGGTTAAATAACTCCTTTCAGTATAATATTCTACTTCAGATCCGCCGATAACACTAACTAAATCCAACTAAAAAAGGAGAGAATTCTAAATTATTAATCTGTAAAATTTAATTAGTTTAACATTATGTGTAAAAAATCTCTCTAACATGGTATTGCAACCAGATGACAAAGGATACTGAACGGATTTTAGTGTAAACCGGTTTAAAGTTATAAACAAACAGTAAGTAAACAAACAGAAAAATATTATTCAGAACCAAATCACGATTTTAATAGAATAACTTAAGTCTTAAGGGATTGTTCTTATCTTACAAAACGCGCTAAGGGACTGTTCTCAATTTTAAAACTGCGCTTTAGCTACATTTAACAACCATTAATTAAATTACACAACAATGTACAAGCGTGTGAACTAATTAAACTTGAATTAATGTTTTAATTACTTTATTAAAACTCGCCTTTTGTTTAAGGAACTTAAGAATATTGGGCTTAACCCTAAACTTGAGACCCCTAAGCCCCCTAAACGGTCCCTTGTACCGTTTTCCACCCCTGGAGGGGGCTCCACCCCTGCACCACCCACAGGTTAGTTAGTTAATACATGTTACTGAATTAACCATTTCAATGTTAATTTATTCGTGATCTTTAATATAATTTTCTATTGTTAAATTGTAATTATTTATGCTTGAAATTGATTTCCAGGGGATCAAATGATTTAATGACTTTAAAATTGATCTCTTTAGGATTGTTGATCGAAAAGTTTACTGGATTATTTATCAGTTGATTGGATAACTGATCAGTGGATTAAAAAGTTGATCGGATTATTTGTTATTTGAATATTAGATATTTCATAAGTTGATTGCTTATTTAATCAGTTGATTAGATATTTGACAAGTTGATTAGATATTTGACAAGTTGATTAGATATTTGACAAGTTGATTAGATATTTGATAAGTTGATTGCTTATTTAATCAGTTGATTAGATATTGGACAAGGTATTTTAAAAGTTGATTAGTTATTTTAGAAGTTTATTATATATTTGATAAGTTGATTAGATATTTGATAAGTTGATTAGATATTTGACAAGTTGATTAGATATTTGACAAGTTGATTAGATATTTGATAAGTTGATTAGATATTTGACAAGTTGATTAGATATTTGATAAGTTGATTAGATATTTGACAAGTTGATTAGATATTTGACAAGTTGATTAGATATTTGATAAGTTGATTGCTTAATTAATCATTTGATTAGATATTGGACAAGATATCTTAAAAGTTGATTAGATATTTTAAAAGTTGATTAGATATTTGATAAGTTGATCAGATATTTAACAAGTTGATAAGATATTTGACAAGTTGATTAGATATTTGACAAGTTGATTAGATATTTGATAAGTTGATTATATATTTGACAAGTTGATTATATATTTGACGAGTTGATCGGATAATTGATCAGTTTATCGCATAATTGATCCAGTGGGTTGGATATTTGACAAGTTTATCGGATAATTGATCAGTTAATAGGGTATTTGATCAGATGATAAAGTATTTGATTTGATTTATTCCAACAGTTGACTGGATATTTCCACAGATGATCAATCGGATATTTGATCAGTTCATAGGGTATTCGATCTGTTGATCGTATATTTAATCAGTTGATTCATATTGGATATTATAATTTGATCAGTTGAATCATATTGAATATTTGATCAGTTTGTTGGGTATTTGATCACTGATCGAATATTAACCAGTTGATTGTTTTTTTTCATAAGATGATTGGATATGTTATTGGTAGATTTTTGAAGTGATCTGTTAATGATATATTCGATTGATTAATTGATTGTTGTGTAGGTCGTATATTTGGGAAAAGATTAACTGAGTTGTCCAAGTTATTGGTTAGCTTGGATCCACATACAGATGTTTTGGTTCCCAAGTTCTTGGTTTCAGCCTGCGGATTCATCCAGGTTCTGTTTTTAGCTTAATGCAGGGGACCCCGGCCCGGATACACCTCCCCCCCCCCCCTCCCCCAAAAATTGTTATTTTTTATGCTTCTTAAAGTTTAAAAATTTAACAAGTTTTGGGGAGATCCCCTCCACCGGCCACCCTACACCATTTCCGTCAAATTCTAAAAACGTTATTTTTCTTAAAAATTATTATTGAAAAAACGATAATCTAGAACAGAGCAATTTTTATTTTTTATTGTTATTTTAGGAAAACTTGAATACTGAAGGAATTTACAGGCTCGCTGGTTCAAATGCAAGACAAAAAACCATTCGTAGGTTAGAGAAATAGCAATGAGAATTTTTTAAATGCAGCCTTAATGGAGCTGTATGTGTAATTTGATGGCAATGTCTGATTTACAACGCTACCCTTAANCCCCTGGAAACATTTTAGGTATTTAAAAAAATCACCCAGACATGTATGATAAACTGTTGGAACCGTCTCAATAGGTTTGCATTATAAAACTTCTTCTTGCAAAATATATCTGCACAATTAGTCATTGTTCTGAATTGTGACGATTCCAACAGTGAATAACTCATTCCTAGGTCTTATTTTATGTGTTTCCAAGGTATGACCTTAATCTGATCATTGTGCTAGTCCTTCTCACAGAGAAACCAAATATAAGAACTGAAATAAGAATATCTACTTCACAGAGAAACCAAATATAAGAACTAAAATAAGAATATCTACTTCACAGAGAAACCAAATGTAAGAACTGAAATAAGAATATCTACTTCACAGAGAAACCAAATATAAGAACTGAAATAAGAATATCTAGTTCACAGAGAAACCAAATATAAGAACTGAAATTAGAATATCTAGTCACAGAGAAACCAAATATAAGAACTGAAATTAGAATATCTACTTCACACTTGATCACACAAGGGTATCGTTGTGAACCAGACATTGCTTTCTTTGAATGGAGGGTCACTTAAATTACGCCTTACAGTTACTCTAATTCTTTTGAAACACTAGACTAATTTGAAATTTTCTTCAGCTTATAAATGTATTCGCTAAATCCAAATTCACATCAAAATGGAATGGGCCTAAAAGCACTTAATGTATCTGTGTTGGTAGTTTTTTCAATTAATTATTCTAAATTAAAAGATTATTTTAAAAATCATTAAATACCTTTAATTTTTAGAGAGCTTGAGTGCAGTGAGAAAGACCTTCATGAGGTGTCTCCAACTCCTTCAGTTCTTGATGTTACAAATCTTCTCAAACAATTTCTTAGAGAGCTTCCTGTTCCCCTTCTCCCCCTTCACTTTCATTCCCTTCTTGCTGATGCTCTTAATAAGGTTAGATCTATCTATCCCCCTCATTTTTCTCCACTTTATTTCTCTTCTTGCTGATGCTCTTAATAAGGTTAGATCTATCTATATATCCCCGTCCTCTTTCTTCACTTTATTTCTCTTCTTGCTAATGCTGTTAATAAGTTTCTATCTGTTTCTCAATCTTTCTCCTGTTTATCTTTTCATTTCCTGTTTATCTGTATATCTCCTGTTTATCTGTATATCTCCTGTTTATCTATCCATTTCCTGTTTATCTGTATATCTCCTGTTAATCTATCCATTTCCTGTTTATCTATTCATCTCCTTGTTATCTATCCATCTCCTGTTTATCTATTCTTCTCCTGTCCGTCTATGATTCTTTTGTTTATCTATCCAGCGCCTGTCCATCTATCCATCTTCTGTTTCTCTCTCCATCTCCTGTTTATATATTCGTCTCCTGTCCATCTATCCATCTTTTGTTTGTCTATTCATATCCTGTTTATATATCCATCTCCTGTCCATCTATCTATCTTTTGTTCATCTATCCATCTTCTGTTTATCTATCCATCTCCTGTCCATCTATTCATCTCCTGTTTATATATCCATCTCCTGTTTCTCTATCTATCTCCTGTTTCTCTATCCATCTCCTGTCCATCTAATCATCTGTGTTTATCTATCCATCTCCTGTTTATCTATCCATTTCCTGTTTGTCTATCCATCTCCTGTTTATATATCCATCTCCTGTCCATCTATCCATCTTCTGTTTATATCCATCTCCTGTTTATCTGTCCATCTCCTGTCCATCTATCCATCTGTTGTTTATCTATTCATCTCCTGTTTATCTATCCATCTTCTGTTCATCTATTCATCTCCTGTTTATCTATCCATCTCCTGTCCATCTATCCATCTCCTGACCATCTATCCATCTCCTGTTTATCTATCTCCTGTTTCTCTATCCATCTCCTGTTAATATATCCATCTCCTGTTTATATATATCCATCTCCTGTCCATCTATCCATCTCCTTTTTATCTATCCATCTCCTGTTTATCTATCTCCTGTTTATCTATTCATCTTCTGTTTATTTATCCATCTCCTGTTAATCCATCTCCTGTTTCTCTATCCATCTTCTGTTTATATATTCATCTCCTGTTTATCTATCCAGCTCCTGTTTAGAGTGAATCTAGTCTGCTTCTAACCCTGCTGCTGCTTCCTATTGAGCATCTCTCCTGTTTATCCTACCTGTGTCGACATCTAGCCGAGGTGGCGGATAACAGTGCTAGAAACAAGATGACCGTCAATAATCTGGCGATTGTTCTTACTCCTTGCCTTTTCCCTATACAGGTGGCTTATTCTTTGTTTAAATAATAAGCAAGCATACTGCAGTGAGTGATAACCAATAAGTTTTGGGTTTATTTTTGACTTTCTGAAAAAATTTACAAATTTCAATTGATCCCCAGTTTTTCCTTTTTTACTTTGAGAATAGAAATATTGCTAAGATTAATAGCAGCAACCTTGACAGAAAACAGTTTTGAAATATTGTCAAGTTTAATAGCATCAACCTTGACAGAAAATAGTTTTGAAATATTGCTATGTTTAATAGCATCAACCTTGACAGAAAACAGTTTTGAAATATTGCTAAGTTTAAAAGCATCAACCTTGACAGAAAATAGTTTTGAAATATTGCCAAGTTTATAAGCATCAACCTTGACAGAAAACAGTTTTGAAATATTGCTAAGTTTAATAGCATCAACCTTGACAGAAAACAGTTTTGAAATATTGCCAAGTTTAATAGCATCAACCTTGACAGAAAACAGCAGTGCTTAGGATCCATTCAATTTCGATGCGGATCCTGCACTGGAAAAAAATGGGACCGGATCCAAATCCGGATCCGGATCCGGATCCGGTACGGATACAGATCATTTCTTTAAGATTCACTGAATTTTTTTAACAAAAAATTTTTTTCAAATTTTTGGTTTTATTTTTTTCGCTTATTTTTATTCTAAAAATTTTTATAATCTCTCTTTTTTCAAAAGTTCAGATTTGGGGTTTCGAAGAAAAAGATTTTTTTGCCGTTTTTTAATTTATTTTTATTTTACCCCTTGGATCCGGATCCGTGGATCCGCTGGATCCAAGAAGCCAAAATCTTACGGATCCAACAGAAGCACTGGAAATCAGTTTTGAAATAATGCTAAGTTTAATAGCAGCAACCTTGACAGAAAACAGTTTTTAAATATTGCCAAGTTTAATTGCATCAACCTTGACAGAAAACAGTTCTGAAATATTGCTAAGTTTAATAACATCAACCTTGACAGAAAACAGTTTTGAAATATTGCCAAGTTTAATAGCATCAACCTTGACAGTGAACAGTTTTGAAATATTGCTAAGTTTAATAGCATCAGCCTTGACAGAAAACAGTTTTGAAATATTACAATTTTTATGAAGTTAAAAAAAACTAACCAAAACGATTAATAACTATAGTCCCTGGAAGAAATGTAAATAAACTCAACCAAACAAAACTAAGTTTTGTTAATATTCAACCTAGAAACTGAGTTTTGTTTATAATCCACCCAGAAACGGAGTTTTGTTTATATTCCACCCAGAAACGGAGTTTTGTTTATATTCGACCCAGAAACTGAGTTTTGTTTATATTCGACCCAAAAACTGAGTTTTGTTTATATCCCTCCCAGAAACTGAGTTTTGTTTATATTCCTCCCAGAAATTGAGTTTTGTTTATATTCGACCCAGAAACTGAGTTTTGTTTATATTCCTCCCAGAAACTGAGTTTTGTTTATATTCCTCCAAGAAACTGAGTTTTGTTTATATTCGACCGAGAAACTGAGTTTTGTTTATATTCCTCCCAGAAACTGAGTTTTGTTATATTCGACCCAAAAACTGAGCTTTGTTTATATTCGACCCAAAAACTGAGTTTTGTTTATATTCGACCCAAAAACTGAGTTTTGTTTATATTCCTCCCAGAAACTGAGTTTTGTTATATTCGACCCAAAAACTGAGTTTTGTTTATATTCGACCCAAAAACTGAGTTTTGTTTATATTCGACCCAAAAACTGAGTTTTGTTTATATTCCACCCAGAAACTGCTGTACATAAATATTTATTGAGTATTATAAAATCGTAAATTACGTAAATTCGGTATCTTAATCAAATTAATAAAGGATAATAAGTTTAAGCAAGCAGAGAATAAAACTAATAAATAAAATTATAATGCAGGATAGTTATGTTGCTCCTGGAGCTAACAAAGACAGAAGATTTGCTGATGGAGAGAAGAAATTAAAGATTCATACCGCCATTGTTGAAGCTTTCATCACAAATTCAAACCAGGTAAACTTTTTAAGTAAAGCATACTTTTTTTTAGAAAATGGAGAATCTAAGAAATAACTTTTATTTTTTTTTCATATTACCAAAGTTTATATAATAGACTCGATGGTAAAGATATTTTTAAGAATTACATCCCGGGAGGGGAGAGGAGGGGGGGAGGGGGAAGTGATCGTTGATAATTTAGAGAAAAATAAAAATTAGAAATCAACCATTAATTATTTTCCCAAATTCAGCGGATATCTAAAAATATCCCCAACAAAGTTTTACATAAAGGGGGGGGGGATCCGGATCCTAGAGTGGGTCCGGGTCCGGATCAGCACCTAAATTAAAAGGATCCGAAGCATTGCTTTTTGGTTTTATTTTCATTCAAAAAATACATTTTTTCAGTTGGGATTTTTGACTGGTTCTGTTTACGATCGATATCTAGCAGCAGTTTCTCAATCATCAGACGATAATTTAGGTAAAGGTAAACAGTGCAGTACAGTTAGGTTGTTAGTAAACAGTGCAGTACAGTTAGGTTGTTAGTAAACAGTGCAGTACAGGTAGGGTATTAGTGAACAGTGCAGTACATTTAGGTTGTTAGTGAACAGTGCAGTACATTTAGGTTGTTAGTGAACAGTGCAGTAAAGTTAGGTTATTAGTGAACAGTGCAGTACAGTTAGGGTATTAGTGACGTGTAGTACAGTTAAGTTATTAGTGAACAGTGCAGTACAGTTAGGTTATTAGTGAACAGTGCAGTACAGTTAGGTTATTAATGAACAGTGCAGTACAGTTAGGTTATTAGTGAACAGTGCAGTACAGTTAATGTATTAGTTAACAGTGCAGTACATTTAGGTTGTTAGTGAACAGTGCAGTACAGTTAGGTTGTTAGTAAACAGTGCAGTACAGTTAGGTTATTAGTTAACAGTGCAGTACAGTTAGATTATTAGTAAACAGTGCAGTACAGTTAGGTTGATAGTAAACAGTGCAGTACAGTTAGGTTGTTAGTGAACAGTGCAGTACAGTTAGGTTATTAGTAAACAGTGCAGGACAGTTAGGTTAGTAGTGAACAGTGCAGTACATTTAGGTTGTTAGTGATCAGTGCAGTACAGTTAGGTTTGTAGTAAACAGTGCAGGACAGTTAGGTTGTTAGTAATCAGTGCAGGACAGTTAGGTTATTAGTGAAAAGTGCAGTACAGTTGGGTTGTTAGTGAACAGTGTAGTAGAGTTAGGTTGATAGTAAACAGTGCAGTACAGTAAGGTTGATAGTAAACAGTGCAGGACAGTTAGGTTTTTAGTGAACAGTGCAGTACAGTTAGGTTATTAGTAAACAGTGCAGTACATTTAGGTTGTCTGTAAACAGTGCACGACAGTTAGGTTGTTGGTAAACAGTGCAGCATAGTTAGGTTGTTAGTGAACAGTGCAGTACAGTTAGGTTATTAGTAAACAGTGCAGTAAATTTAGATTGTTAGTGAATAGTGTAGTACAGTTAGGTTGATAGTAAACAGTGCAGCACAGTTAGGTTGTTAGTAATCAGTGCAGTACAGTTAGGTTATTAGTGAACAGTGCAGTACAGTTAGGTTATTAGTAAACAGTGCAGTACATTTAGGTTGTTAGTGAATAATGCAGTACAGTTAGGTTGTTAGTAAACAGTGCAAGACAGTTAGGGTATTAGCAAACAGTGCAGTACATTTAGGTTGTTTGTAAACAGTGATGTACATTTAGGTTGTTTGTAAACAGTGATGTACATTTAGGTTGTTAGTAAACAGTGCAGTACATTTGGGTTGTTAGTGAACAGTGCAGTACAGTTAGGTTGTTAGTAAACAGTTAAGGACTAAATAGGTGCTTAATCTTAACATGAATACTCCCTGTTGGAACCATAGCCTCCCTGTATTATAATTTTTTTATTCAGATGAGGATAGCGGACCCAGTAAAAGAAAAGGCAAAAAGAGAATTCGTCGTCGTTCAGGAATATTCATTGTAGTTATTCTTAGTTTTCTTTAATTCTTTAGTTATTCTTAGTTCTTGGTCACAGTCTTGGTTATCTTTAGTTCTTGGTAACCAGTGCTTAGGATCCATTTAATTTTGATCCGGATCCGGATCCTGGATCCGCTTTTCAAAAAAATGGATCCGGATTCGGATCCGGATCCGGATCCAGGTCATTAATCAAAAAAAAATTTAGTTCAAATATCTTTTCATAACTAAAAAAATGTTAAACATTTTAACATTTTTTTATACTATTTTTACTTTATTGGATGAAAAAACAGGTCTAATTCATATTAGCTTTTAGTAGAAGGAGGGTCTTTAGAATATCTGTCTTCAGGTCTGATTTGAATATCTTCAGTGCAGAGAACAGTCTCTTTATACTGGGAACACAAAATGTTCCTTAGCATCTGTATCTTTTTAGCATATGTGCGCCCCCTCACTCTTACACATCCTTACACCTTAATTTGTGAAGACTGAATTTGCTTAGTTGCAATGGCGAAAAGGGAGACTTCTCCCCCCCCCCCCCCCCTCTCTAGTTATTAAAGGGGGTACTGGGGGTGCACGGTGGATGTCTGAGTTAAGATTTTAGCAAGATAGAAACCTGAGACCCTGAGAATATTTTTAAAATCTTTTAAACAATTCAAAATAGGATATTTTTAAGGGAAAATAACGCTGTTTTGCACATTTTGAAAAATTTTGCTTGGATCCGGATCCGTGGATCCGCATTCTTTTGCGGATCCGGATCCAGAGAGCAAAAATAATGCGGATCCAGCGGATCCGGATCCTAAGCCTTGTATGGTAACAGACTTAGTAATCTTCAATTGTTGATCACAGTCTTAGTTATACTTAGTTCTTGGTCACAGTCTTAGTTATCCTTAGTTCTTGGTCACAGTCTTAGTTATCCTTAGTTCTTGGTCATAGTCTTAGTTATCCTTAGTTCTTGGTCACAGTCTTAGTTATCCTTAGTTCTTGGTAACAGTCAGTTATCTTTATTCTTGGTCACTGTCTTAGTTATCCTCTTTTCTTGATCACAGTCAGTTTTCTTTAGTTCTTGGTCACAGTCTTAGTTATCTTTAATTCTTGGTCACAGTCCTAGTTATACTTAGTTCTTGGTCACAGTCTTGGTTATCCTTAGTTCTTGGTCACAGTCTAGTTATCTTTAATTCTTGGTCACAGTCCTAGTTATACTTAGTTCTTGGTCACAGTCTTAGTTATCCTTAGTTCTTGGTCACAATTTTAGTTATCTTTAATTCTTGGCCACAGTCTTAGTCATCTTTAATTCTTGGTCGCAGTCTTGGTCACAGTCAGTTTTCCCTAGTTCTTGTTTGTCATTTAACCAATTTCAACTTTTACAATTTGATGAAAAATGTTTAACTTTGAATCTTTATGATACAGGAAGTTTATCTCGAGTTCTCTCTGTTATGGGGAAAGGTATTCGAGCAATGGCCCGGACCACCACAACACCCAATAAAGGTCAGACGGGCTCGATTCACTCCACGCCACTTCCACAGTTTGGCGCCACTCCTGACTACCCCTCACCAAGAGGTCAACCCAAACGGAAAGCGCCTGAACATGAGCTGTCCCCAGCGACGAAGTCGCATAAAAGAGGATTTGAGTCGACATTTACCCCGAAAATGAGAACGCGGTCTTTTTCGGTCAAGAGATTTAAACGGAAGAAATCTGAGGGAAAATTGCCGAAGGAGACGTTTGTGACGCATACTAAACTTAGTTGTACGCCGCATCAGCGTACACCGATGTCGCAAACATTACCAACAGCTATGCCCGTCTTAGCAAGCATTAGCAATCTTCATATTACGCCATTGCAATTAAAGGTATGATACAACTTGTCAACCCTATAAAGGCTGGGGCGTCTGAATCTATGTATAGCCTGGGGGGGGGGTGTCTCCCTCCCAGAAAAGGCCCGGGAGAAGAGGTATAAGGTTGAAATGCATGTTTATAGCCCAATTTTTCAAGGCCAGCTCATTGAAAAAAAAAACTAGACGATAAATTTTATAGTTTGGGCGCTAGAATGTGTTGAAAAAATGCCAAAAAAAAAGTTAAAAGAAATGTAAAAAAATATTTTGTTTCTTTTTTAAACAAAAGTGTTACACATGTTTCAACTTTCATTTGAGGGCTTTTAAAAATACATATCTGTAGCTTTGTCACCAAAAATTTTAGGGCTATTTTAGATTTTTTTTGACACAGACTGGACTTTTTACCGCCATGTACTCTACCCTATGCATTAAATCAAACAATAAAAAACCCCCCAGCCTGTTTAGGGTTAAGATCCTTTTGATTAGAAAAAATAACCATATTTTTAATCAAAATTTTGTTCAGTCTGGGACAATTTTTTCCGATGCAAATCTTCAGTATGAAGCTAATTCACAGGTAAAATTTTTTTTAAGACTTATTAAATAATAGATATTTTTTCATTTTATTTTTCAGTTTGAGAATGAATACGCAGAGGTTAAGGCCCAGTATCAGGATCTTAAGGTAGAGTACTGAACAGTGAACAGTAAGCAATTAGTTGTTTAGGACTGTATAGTGTATATATGGTGTATGGTGTATGGTGTATGGTGTATGGTGTATGGTGTATGGTGTATGGTGTATGGTGTATGGTGTATGGTGTATAGTGTATAGTGTATAGTGTATAGTGTATAGTGTATAGTGTATAGTGTATAGTGTATAGTGTATAGTGTTTATGTGTCAAGTCCAATAAACGATGTAATTAATGCATCTCTTGTATATATTCTCGGTTTCACTGAACACTCACTACAGGGGATATGATGCACCTCAAATCAACTTTCCATAATAAGAATAAAATAATGTGAATATCCCTGACCGGGCGAAATTTTTACTCTCTTAATCTTAGAAGACTCCTGGAATATATTTCTTATTACATGGCTTTTCTGTCAATTTGATTTAAAGAAAGGGCGCGTTTTTTACTTCATTGTGGACAAGGTTCAACCACTTCTCTTCAGCTTGATCTGGAACGTTAAGATCAACTACTTGATATTCATTAAAGCGAAGTGTATTATCTACACGATCAAAACTGGTCAAGGCTTCTGTCCTGGATTCTCGGCACCTTCATTTATATGAACTAGGCTGCGCCCATCCTCTAATTCAATTATGTTATCATTTTATATATTGTGAAATAATAAAATAAAATGCGTTAAGTGGATTGACCAAATGGGCTGAAATTTTTTTGTGGACTCTCAGGGGTGGCCAGGAGCTAAAAAAATTCAAATAGTTTTTAAAAAATATTTTCTTTTTAATTTTTTAAAATGTTTTACAGGCAACGCCGGGCCCTTCGGCTAGTGAAATTTACAACAAGACATTCATATATATGTTGCCTAAAGGGGGCCAAACGGCTTGACTGAATGGGCTAAAAGAATTTGTGGACACTCATGGGTTACCGAGCGGTATTTAAGGCTAAAATATCGAAAAAAATTCAATATTTTTTTAAAAAACTTTAAATATATTTTTTTCAATAGCAACGCCGGGCTCTTCAGCAAGTCATCCATAAACCTTCCCTGGGGTCACGAGAAATCCCACAAAAATTTGGGCCCGATCGGTTCAGCTGTTCTGACGTTTTACAAACAAACAGACACCCAAACAAGCAAAGAATATATAGATATAAAGTCTCGATTTAACAAAATATTCTACCAGGAGGAAGTGCGTATGTTAGAAGAGTCAAGGAGGGAGGATTCGATGCTGGCTGATGAGGATGAAGAAGCGAGGCTTGACAATAATGTCGATGCTCTCCAGATAGTTGAAGAAAGGTAGATTTTTTAAACATTCGTTTTCTTCGAGATTTAAGTATTTTAGTGACTTTTGTCTAACTGTCTTAAAGTTGATTGTGAAATGTCACTAGGGGATGGGGGGGGGGGGTTACTGCTAATTATCAGGGGAACGTTTTTCTCATCTGTATATTAGGAATTTTTAGGTGTTGAACATGAAAGGTTCTAAAATAATTTTTAGATTATTTAAAATATGATATATGAGAGATCTTTAACGGAACATTTAATTACTGAAATTTTGTTAGGTATGAGGTTGCTAAAGCTAATATTGTTAGGTATGAGGTTGCTAAAGCTAATATTGTTAGGTATGAGGTTGCTAAAGCTAATATTGTTAGGTATGAGGTTGCTCAAGCTAATATTGTTAGGTATGAGGTTGCTCAAGCTAATATTGTTAGGTATGAGGTTGCTAAAGCTAATGGTGGAACACTAGACAAGGAATCCAGGGATACTGCTCGCCAACTGGCCAGGTATCTTGTCAGGTGTTTCTGTAGGAATTAAACTTTTTATTAGAAAAAAATAAAGTATTTGTTTATTTTTATTGAATATCATCATTTCTCGCTAGATTTTCTTCTTAATTGATTTTGTTTCTATAAATGATTATGTTTTCAAATTGAAATATTTCAATCAAAGTAACAAAAAACTGCTTATTATTTCAATGTAATTGTTTACAATAAGCAATGAAAAATGGTCACAATTTATTTACCATTTTGGTCATTATTTTTCTGGGGACTAATTTCTAATAACCCTCCATTTAAAGAGGGGGGCATACCCTTATCTCAGTGGTACCTTGAAACCTTTATCTGATAAATTTCTGGATTGACGTGTTTTTATTGAGACAGTTACTCCTCTTTTTCTTCAGCATAATTTCGCAAGTTACTTCATTGATAAAACCACAATTAAAAATTATCAGTTTCTGAGGTTCACTTGAATTAAACTTCTACAGTCCATTTGTTATTATTTAGAGTGAAACGGCGGTCTAGTGAAAACAAGAAACCCCGGTCCCCTTCTCAACGTCGCATCGGAGTTATTAGAAGGTTTGCACTTCAACTATTTAATTTTAAGACTTATGTCATATTGACTTCAATTGTATTATTTAATTAGTCATTTCTCTGTTTAAATTTCCCAGAGCAATAAGTTTTATCTCGGGGACCTTGCAATGACAAATTTAATTTTGTTGGAAGCCAAACAAATTAAAATTTAAATGATTTTTGTTTTGTTTAGAAAAAGCAAGGAGAGAGAGGAGAAACTAAACCGTCGGCCGAGCCCTGGTCAAGATGTTAGCCCAAGAGAGCGTGGTCGAAGCCCCGGTCCTAGGCGGGCACTCAACAAGTCCCCGGTCACCAAGATTCCACTCACCCCCCTACTCAATGAGTCGGGCATCAAGGGGAAGCTTTTAAGAGGACGGCCCAATACTACAACCTCAGGACTTGAGAAACCCTCTCCAGTCACTGTTGTGGGCCCTCAGGGTAATATTAGGATTAAGAATAGCTTTAAGAGCAAGGATAGAGGAGCTATTCGTGCAATTGCCCCTGCTCCCAAAATTCAAAGCCCTGTCACCAGATCAATCAGCCAGTCCGATTCTATCTCTAGTTTAAGATCATATATTCACGATATTATTGAGAAATCCTTCAGCACTGGCAATGTGTCGGAGGACAATGTGTTTGGTTCGGATGATACTCTGGATGGAACATTTCGACAGTCCTCTCGTGAGGATGTGCAAGAGCTTTCATCACAAATGGAAAATGTATCTTTTAACTCCGACATTTCTTCAATACCGGCAGATTTTATGAAGCAAGAGAGTTCTTTAACACGTAGCCAACTTAGACGACAATCCCATTCTTTTGAGTTCACCAAACCTTCTGCTAACACGGAGACAATACGCAACAAGACCGATTCAATGCGCCGACAATCTTCCGCTTTTGAATTCCGATCTAAACCGATAGTGGAGCCAATTTATGAAAACCTGAGTCGGGATACTGCCACCAGGGCCAGCTTGCGACGAAGAAACTCCAGTGTCAAGGATCTAATCAAGAAAATGGAAATGGAAGCACAGCGGCGAATTGGAGCTCCCAAGGGGTATTTTGACGCTCCACGGACAAGAACCCAAAGTATTCCTGAAAATGGAAATACTATTTATGAAGATGTTGTCCTGATGGTTGATAATCAGTCCAAACCCTCTGAAGATATCATCCCAACTACAAGTCTAAAAACTGATGCTGCGTCACAGCCAGAGGAAAACATGTTTGCTTCTCCACCTTCCTCTGAGGAGATATGGGTTGATGGGTCAGAGTTCTTCAAGAATGTACAACAAGCTAACCTCCCCCAGTGTGGACGCTCTTCTATTGTAAAGATCCGAACCGAGCATCGCGGTCGAGTTCTGAACTCCGTAACAAAATTTTCTGGTCCTCCCGGATCCACCCCAGTCCGCCGAGGGGCTACCCCCGGCTCACGTCGGATATCCGCCAGAATGGGTGTGTCGGCTAGCCCCTCCTGTCCTCCACCCCCGGTACACCGTCGACAGACCCTAACTGGAATAAAGACTTCTGCCGGGTCTAGACCAAGCGGACATTACACTGCTCCGACTATATCTACCCTAGCTAAGAAACGGGATAAAAGTCCACTAGCGCCACCCCGACTTAAACGAAGTCCAACTGTTAGAACACTAGAGCGTAAGAAATCGGATGCAAAGAGTGGACAGAAAGCTGCTTCTGTTCGTCGGACGTCATCTAATACCGCTCCGTCAAGAAAGGGTAGCGAAGGTGGCCGGGGAAGAAGGAGAGATGATAGAAGGTTCTTAACCATTGGTTACAATGAGGATGTTAGAAGTCCGCTCAAAGAATGTCAAAACATTCATGCTAACGTTAAACGGTATTTTAATTTATAACTTTTAGATTTTGATTAAATAGGTTATAAACGAATTTGAGGGGTTCTTAAATAATAAATATTCATTGAATTTTCTTGAAAATATTCCAGAATTGGGGAAATGGTTTTTAAGAGAGAATAAGCAAATATTTGGGTAAAAAGTAAAAAAAGGATGGAAGAACTTACCCGTTTTTTGTTATTAATCTATGTTGACTATCTCTTAATTCGATCTTTTGAGAATATTTTAACATATTTTGAAACATAAAGTTCTTAACTCTTAAAATATTTCAAAAACTGTATATTAGTATATTGGTAAAATATCTAAACTACACAGGGATGGAAATATGAAGAATTTTAGTTCTTAGTTTTAATCAACATTAAGAATCATTTTTCCAGGAAAAGAATCAAGATTTAATTAGCACTGATTTTGAAATGGGAAGTTAATTTTTTTCCCCGAGATTTTAGACTTTTATCAAATTTTGATATTTCATACACCTTCCTTGGGATTAGTGAGATACAACAAATAACTGGTTTAATCGTTTAACTACGAAACAGAAATGCATAATATTTAAATATCTTTTTGTTCTAGATCAAACTCTGACCAGACGACAACCAGTAAGAAGGAAATGAGGAAACCTGTAGCGGAGGCTGAGAATACTTACCAAAACATCCTCGTCTCAAGGACACATAGCCTTAAATCCGACCTCCTCATGAGCCCCGCCTGTCCTCCTAACCTCACTCCTAAAGCTGAACGTGTACGAAGGGCGAATTCTGAGAGAACTACGCCACGTCACACTCCATACAAGACACCATATTCAGCCTACCGACCATATAGGGCGGAACTGGGAGACCAGGGAACGCCCCGAAGATCTCCCAGATTGTTGTAAGAAGGCGTGTCCGTGCCAAATGTATAAATATGAAAGACTGTTCTATATGCTTTAATTCTTTATTGTATTATCTTATAAATATTAACACAAAGTTGTACGATATCTTGCACACGTTTTTTTAATAGATTTGATCATTTGAAGATTGTTACCGTTTCAATTTCATTATTTTATTCTGGACTCAAGAAGTTGCTCAAATTCTAGTTTTTGACATCACACATCAATTATTGTGATAAAAGAATTTTGGATTATAGAAAAGTTTTGTAATAAAATATGACTTAAATTTAAGGTTAAGATTTTTCTGGTTTTCATATTATATCAATGGAAACCAAGTCGAGAAAAATGCACGAGTATAAGTGGAGAGAAAGTGCCGAGTATATTGTAAACAACCCCTGCTTCACATACCAAGATTCTAAGAATTAAGTTTAAGTAAATTAATTTAAGTCGACCAAAGAAAATTTGAAACCTTTTTAAAATTTAAAGTTGAAGAAATATTTTCTAAGAAAATACATTGGTATAATACGTAAATATTTTCTTATATTTCGTGAAAATTTGGGAAGTTTTTGGTTTTCATTTAATAGTACGAAAGTGTACGAAAAAATACGCAAATTTCACGAACAAAATAATTGGTAGACTTTACGTAATTTTATCCGTAAATTTTTCATAAAAATGGGATCGGTTTTTCGTAAAATATTTCTTAATGTGATCAAAAAAACGTATAATTTATATTTGGTAAGCAGGGCAGCCTTAAAAAATCCTCTTTCTTACCCGACAACTCTGATAAGAGACAATTCCCTCGAAACCTTCCTACACGGTACTGGTTGTTGATTGATAGTGAGGTGAAAAGTTCTTTAAATCCTCTAGTTCCTTTTCTTCTTAGTATATTCAAAAGTTACAAATATACGCTGTTCAGTTGAAACCTGAAGAGCCAATGAAAAACAACTTTTCTATAAAAATTAGACCAGAACTGAAAATTACAAATTCTCTTGATAAAATTGTTCAAATTTTCTGTGATTCTGTGATTTAGTATTTTTAAAATTTTAAGTCGGATAGAAATAATTTATTTACACATTTCTGCTTTTATGAACTTTTGATTTAAGAGAAAAAAGATTCGTGGATTTTTTGGGCCAAAAAAATTCCAAAATATATACAGGAGAGTTGCACAAACAAAAGGTACAACTTTGCACCAGACGCCGCTAATCACACTTTTTTTTTGACTCATCCTGTATATTAAATTTATCTGATGAAAAAGTTTTTCTTGTATCTGCCCTGTAATCTTGGGGTAAATGCTATTTAGGTACAGTTGTCGACGTTTATATCAATACAATATCCAAGAAACAATTTTGGGAAAATTCTCGAGAAATTCTGAAGAATTTTATCACTTTCTCGTGAAATAATCGAAACTTTTGAACGGCGCATTCACGAAAATCTGTCAATTGTTTTTGGAACCAATTCGCTATGTGCAGTTCCATACTTTTAACAATTCCTCCATTTACTCTACTGAATTTCCCCAAACGTCTCCCCAATTGGAGAATAAATTCCCAAAAGTTACTAGGCATAAAATGTATGAGAATTTAAACCCCAAAATTCCATTGCCTTTTTTTCGTTATTTTTTTTCTTCTATTTTTTTCGACGTTTTTTTCTCCTATCTTTCTTAATATTTTCTCTAGATTTACTAGGAGCAAAAGTTTGGAGAATTTTACTCACACTTTTTATGAACTTTTCTTCGAACATTTTTCTACATTCTTTTTTACAATTGTTATTCACAACCAAATCTTCTCTATTTGGAGAAATCTGGAGAAAATGTTCATGTATAGGAAAAAATGGAGCATGTCAAATGTTTAAAATTAAGTACTAAAAATTTATACAAAAAAATACTTTTGTAAATATTACTTTCTTCAATAACAAGCCACATGTAAATCCTAGGGAGTTTCGAGTCCATTAATTGCACCTGCATTGGTTGTAGGGCTTTTGCAAACATTTCACTCTAGATTCCCATACTCTCGTTTTTGTATTAATCCCTTTAATAACCTTTCTGTCCATGTCTCTCAGAGTATAAATCAATAGGGATTAATCAGTTTCATAGTTGATTTAATAAATACATCCATACGTTTATTCAGGTTTATTCAGATATTGAACTGCTACATTCAGGATCTGTCCGAGCAGCTTCCTCTATTACTCTATCTCGTTTAGCTGCTCCAGTTCAGTATCTTTCAAGGCAGCTTCTTCAACTCGATATCTCGTTTAGCTGCTCCAGTTCAGTATCTTTCAAGGCAGCTTCTCCAACTTAATATCTCGTTTAGCTGCTCCAGTTTAGTTTTTATCTAGGTAGCTTCTCAAACTCGATATCTCATTTAGCTGCTCTTACACTGCAATCTGAGCTCGTACACTAGCTGCTTCCAGAGTCTCCACTAATTTAGCTGCTCATACAATATGGGATGCTTCCACTATATTGCTAGCTGTTTCCTTTATTACGGAGCTGTTCCTAGAGTCTCTGCTATGTTAGCTGTACTTTCAATTTGAGCTGCTCCTAGAGCTATTCTCAGAGTCTCTTCTATGTTAGCCTTACACACAGGTCAAGCTGCTCCTAGAGTCTCTGCTAGGTTATCATCCTTGTTACCATCATTGTTACCATCATTTTTATCATCATTGGTATCATCATTGGTATCATCATTGGTATCTTAATTGTTATCATCATTGTTCCTTATTGATATCCTTTTTGATAACCTTATTGTTATCATCATTGTTATCCTCATTATTATCCTTAAAACGGGCAAACCCGACCGACAATGACCGGTGCTCCATTACACTGGCACACATTGAAAAGAATGATATTCCTTCTTATAGCGAATTTTTAATCTACTTTTAAAGTTGTTTTTGTTGTTTTGTAAATAGTTTTGAAATAGTTTGTAGTATCTGGTATCAGAGATGGAAGAAGCTTATTGCAGAGTAGCTTTGCACACATCTGTGATAACAATAGCTGCAGGGTACATAGGAGAACTAGGATATCCAGGACACATAGGAGAACTAGGATATCCAGGACAATTTAAGATGAAGATCTAATAATATGGTTTTTTCCAAGTCCATTGAAAACGTATTATTCATACGTTTTCATCGTAAAATCCAAAAAACTAAGTAACTGTTCTTTCTAGGAGATATCGGCAAATCTCGGTTGAAAACATTAACTACAGGCACAAATATGTTAATTTTATTTGATAACTTTTAATCTCAAACAATCAAAGGATGGTTATTCTAGCTAATACTTTAAAGAGAACGAGACATTTTATATTTATCAAGGCCTGAAGATGTAATTCTGCGCCTGTACATTTTTCCAAATGTTTAATCTATAATCTTGTCAACCAAAAAAAATTGAAACCTTCTTAACATTTAATGTGAAGGTAATATTTAGGATCCAGGAAGCCAAAATCTTGCGGATCCAACAGATCCGGATTCTGGATCCTAAGCACTGCTTTGGAGTATATGCTTCTAAATTCAATAGTTTCAGTTCAGGCATAGATATACAAGAATATAGATCACTAATGCAGACTGTAAAGCTGAAAATTGTACAACCCCTTGTACATCATGAACTTGTCATTTAAAAAGGTCATTGAATACGTTTTACTTCTCGGGGTTAATCTGAGTATTTTTTACTAATTTATTTAAATAAGTTTATTGAAAACTAGGATTTTCCCATTAACTATTTTAGCTTTTAACCCAAAACAGGCTGGGTGGGGGGGGGCTTCTAAAGTGTTTTTGTCCTATCACTCTCATTTTTGTCACTATCATCGTGACATTTTGTGACGTTTGATGAAAAGTAATTTAAAGGATTTTTGTCAAATTTTATTTTTTAATGCATAGGGAATGGTCTGTGTAAAAAAATCTAAAAAAGCCCAAACTTGTTTGTGATTAAAGCTACAGATTAAAAAATATATTTTTGCAAATCCCTTAAAAAATGAATGTAGAAACATATGTCACAATTTGATATCTGTTTAAAACAAAACTAAAATATTTATTACATTTTTACCCGTTTT